GATGGTGGTCCAGTATTAGCAGTGAGATTAACTGAGGTCTTAGGTAGAATTTGGGAACTAGACGTAATCCCATCTGACTGGTCTCAATCACTGATTGTGCCAGTTTTTAAGAAAGGACAAAAGTCCTCTTGTGACAATCACAGAGGAATCAGTTTGACTAATATAGTGTCTAAAATATTAGCTTCAATAATACTTCGACGCCTAACCAAAGCTCGTGAAGAGCAGACTAGAGAAAATCAGGCTGGTTTTCGACCTGGACGTGGTTGTATAGATCAGATTTTCACACTACGTCAGGTTCTAGAACACAGACACACGTTCAGACGGGACCATCGAGCAAGTAATGGAGTTGTTAGGAAACGGGTACTAGGTAAGGATGGCAAATTAATTGATGACGTAGTGAAACTTCATCAGTTGAGATGGCTTGGACACGTGTTACGTATGTCCAACCACCGACTGCCTCGACGTGCCATGTTCAGTGGTATGGGAGTAGGTTGGAAGAAAGCTACGGGCGGCCAAACCAAAACATGGCACAAGTCCATGAAGTCACTGACAAGTGGACTGAGTCATGTCGGTAGGTGTAGACTACCTGGTTGGGGACCGCGAGATGATAGCAACCGATGGTTAGAGACCCTGAATGACATCGCTCAAAATCGTTTGCAATGGCGCAGGTGCATACACTCTTTGCGTTTTCACAAATTTTGATCTCCTTATTCCTTCTCGTCTCTTTTTTTTCTCCTCTCAAGTTTATTTCACTGTATTATGCTCTTTAAGTAACATCTCCAAACACCAATCTTCCCGATTACTGCTTATACTCTTATTACCTCTACTACTACGGGATTTGAATCGACCACTGCATCTCTATGCTAATGTGGTGTGGCAACTCGAACTGATGTACGTACGTACGAAGTTCTACGTTGTTACTGACTGACTGACACTGGACAACGAAGTGACCGCCACCAACGGATTGATGTTAGCAAGTTGGTTGCAACTTCTGTTGCAAGTAAGTATCGAACCGAGCTAGCTTCTAGGCTAGCTACCATTCCACCGAAAAATATAGATGAGTATTGGTTGCAATTGCATGACGCCATGAAAATGGCGGATACAGTTAGTTGTGGGTTCGCGAAACGTCCCGCTTATAAGCACTGGGTTTCTTCAGGCTCCTTACAACTCATCGACGCCCGTTGGTCTACTCCGGGTGACCGTGAGTTTGACCACAAACGAAGGATGTTTACGTAATGATATTGGGTAAAGCTTGCGTAAGGACCGAGAAGCCTGGTGGTCAGAGCGTGCTAATGAACTGGAAGCAGCAGCTGCATCTGGTAACTGCCGAAAGCTCTTACAACTCATCCGAGCCACTGGCAGCAAGAAGTCTGGTGTGAGCGAAACAATCTGTGAGGATGACGAGATGCCAATCACTAACATCCATTGACGTCTTGGACGGTGGGTAGAATCCTTCGAAGGGCGGTTTAACTGTCCAGCTGCTCGGGCGACATCGGTCAGACTGTCCTACCCTCCATGACCTGTGACGACTGATCCACCAAATGAGGCGGAAGTCCGCAAGGAACTCCAACTATTGAAACGCTACAAATCACCTGGCCCAGATGACTTACCTCCGGCTGTTTTTAAAGATGGTGGTGACTTTCTGACTACGGAATTGACGACGTTGTTTACAAAGGTCTGGGAGCTAGAGAGTGTTCCAACGTCATGGAATGAGTTAATAGTTGTTCCTATCTATAAAAAGGGTTCACGTCGTTTCTGTAACAACTATCGGGGGATAAGTCGACTTCCGATTGCATCCAAGCTATTGGCTTCCGTCATACTTCGTAGGTTGTTCAAAACCCGAGGGAGATTGACTCGCGAGGAGCAGGCTAGATTTCGTCCTGGTCGAGGATATATTGCTCATATCTTCACTCTCCGCCAACTGTTAGAACACCGCCATACTTTTCAAAGGCCAACAATCGTAGTGTTTCTTGACATCAGGGCTGTCTTCGATTCGTTGGATAGGTCTGTTCTCTGGGATTCTCTACTGAAGAAGGGTGTGTCTGAGAAGTTTATTAGCAACCTAAAATCCCTATATACAAACACCTCAGGCAGAGTGAGGGCATACAACCACCTTTCTCCATTGATCAATTCAAGCAGTGGTGTTAGACAGGGTTGCCCAATCTCACCATTCCTCTTTAGATGGTGGTTGGAGGTAGTCAACAGGAAACCCTGGACCCGGGTTTCGTGCTACTTGGCACTCGTCAGCAAGGTGTACCTGTAATCTTGAGGGAACTGGTGCTCCCTGGCGGATTTGATCTCGTGTCACCCAGCTTCACAGTCAGAGACGTTACCACTGAGCTATCCGAGCCGTGACTAACCTCCTGTAGGACTGAGATGTAATCACAATTGATTGCAACATGATCGATAGCATTCGATCTGCACTAATAAGGACTAAACAAGCATGACATTGATCACCACCCAGTGATCAATCAATTGTGCTCACCATTCCTCTTCAACTTTGCCATCGATGACATTCTGGAAACAGTTCTGATGGATGTAAGTAATGGCGGTGTGGATCTGTTGCCTGGAGAAAGACTTCTCGACCTTGAGTATGCGGATGATATTGTCTTACTGTGCGATAATGCCCAAGCCATGCAATCCGCACTTAGGCAGTTGGCAATCAGTGTCCGTAGGTACGATATGTGCTTCGCACCTTCGAAGTGCAAAGTGACTTCTACAAGACTGGCAGTATTCTAATCCTGTACTCACCCTGGATGGTGAGCAGATAGAAGTAGTCGAGAAGTTCGTATATCTAGGTAGCTGCATAAGTGCTGGTGGTGGCGTGAGTGATGAGGTCAATGCACGTATAGTGAAAGCCAGAGCGGCTTATGCCAATCTGGGCCATCTTTGGCGTCTTCGTGATGTTAGTCTGGCTGTAAAAGGTCGGATCTACAACGCATCGGGGAGAGCAGTTCTGCTCTATGCTTGTGAAACCTGGCCTCTCCGAGTTGAGGATGTTAGACGACTCTCCGTGTTTGATCATCGTTTGTCTCCGAAGGATTGCTGACATCCAGTGGCAACACCATGTTAGTAATGCAGAGGTTCGGCATCGTGTGTTTGGGCGCAGAGACGATAATCCAACTGGTGTCACTATCTTGAAACACCGACTTTGGTGGCTTGGACATGTTCTACGAATGTCGTCCCAGAGAATTCCACGTCTTGCATTATTTGCCGACACTGGGACTGGTTGGAAAAAGCGGAGAGGTGGTCAGTGTATGACATGGTGTCGGGGTATGAAAGAAATCTGCACAGGACTGGCATCTGTTGGTCCTTCACTTCCTGACTGGGGTCCGAGAGATGGTGCAACACAGTGGCTAGATAAGTTATCAGATATAGCTCAGAATAGAAGTCAGTGGCGATCCTGCTGTAATCTTCGTTTGCTTTCTTCATGAAAAGTTGTTGTATCTTCCCCAACTGAAAGATTTCCGGTTGTACCTTTCCGTTCCCCCCCCCGTTGTTATTATTACTATTGTCACTATTATTATTATTATTATTATTATTATTATTATTATTATCGTTACACTACCTTACACCAATCTGGTTGTTATTGTCCTTCTTTTTTCCTTTTCATTCTCATTGTTTTGTGTGGCGCATATATATTGGCGCTCTTTTGTACCAATATTTATGTATTCAAATAAAATAATAAAATAAAACATTCCACTTAAAGAGGACTGTCGGCACTTTTCCTAGAAAATTTTGTTAAACCTAGCTGAGATCCTATTTCATAGAAGTAGAATGTGTAGAACAATTAGTTGCCATTTGGAGAAGACAAGAACTGCTTCTAGTCTTAGCCAATACCATTTCCCATTGTGAAGTCAAAGGCATATTCCTCAAGAAATATAGTAGTAGAAGGCATTAAATGACATAAGACTATAATGTGGTCACCAAGCCGAATAATGTTGCGTCACCCACCGTAAAGACATAGTCACCTGTAGACTAACAGCATCCAGGACTTGAAAACCACCGTACACTCGTGCAGTACCTGAGAAAGGTTTAAGAACCTATTGGATAAAATGTAAATCCTATAATTGTCGAGATATCTCCTATACTAAACTCAACACTAGGGTATTACGTGCCAGAAACTAGTCCTTTTCTAAATACACATCGCGAGAGGTGATCCAAAGAACGAAAATCAAACTTGTCTCAAGAACTTTGAAGCATTTGCATGAAGCTAAATTAATGTGAACAAACTAATCACCCCTAACACATAAAACGAACATATGCGAGTACACAATTTAAGTCCACATGCCCAGAACTAACTGAGACGACTTTCTATATTAGATTGAGTTATCAGAAGGCAAATCTTTGCGCATCAATAAATTTTATTCAAAAGGTAGCGCATGGAGAAACATTCCACTATTAAGAAAAATGAAGCCGGCAGCTAGTACTAACGATATCCTCTATTCAATCAATTGTTCCAGGACTCAACCAGTGAAAAAAATACACACCTAATACGACTTCTAGAAATTATACGATTTTTAAATATGGGAAGTCATCTAATTCACATGACTAAATATTTTCAGGTTTATATAGAGGCTGGTGAAATTCAGAAAATACTTTCTGCAATCACAGCTTGTGATATCAAAACTCCTTACGAGGAAAATTAGTGTAAACCACAAATACTGAAGTGCTTTTTGTTAGAGTAATATTACTAATAATGATCAAGTAACTAAAAGAAAAATATCCACTGCACAAAAATTGATACACAACTAGTAAGATATAATAAAACTCAAGATCAATACATCTTGGAAATATGTGTGACCAAAGTCACAGGTAATTTGATATTAACTACTACATAAATTCAGTTTTTTGCATGATAAACCAATAAAGATTTGCATATGCAGATATATCCCAAATCCAAGTAACAAGAGAAACTAGGGTTCCCTGATTATTGAGCTTGATGTTCTCTACTTAGAGCGTTCATAACTGAAAAGTTTTAAAGGACCGAAACAACTTACTGAGCGATTCTTGCTAGTTGATATAATCCAGTTAGAGCAACAAAGGCGTTTACACTGAGAAGGTTGTAATTTTTTGGGATAATAACCATAGAATACCGAGACCATATGAGACCTGTTGCTGCAAGCGCTGTGCTTTGATATAAACTGACGTTCTGAACTGGTCGGTTAATATCTGCTAAACCAGCTATAACAAGAAGCTTTAATTAACTAGTAATTTGTGGATTGTCGTTAACCAACCCATTTGAAAGTAGGCGCCCAGAAAAATATGGTTTTAGGTCCCGCAGGATGATCCCATAAAGGTTTGATTCGAGCAGGAACCTTTTTATCAACGGCTGCAATTACCGCCCGATAGACTGCCGACATCTGTCCGATAATTTACGCGGCAAGATTTTGTAATCCGAGTGTCCTTGGTCTGTGGTTATTCTAAACAATCAAGCTTCATCTTTAATATTTCATATACCTGGGATTAAATAGCATAAGCGATTGAAAAATTTGAGCTCCATTTGAGGGTTAACTTACTGCTCCAAGTCTTCGCTAACATTCAGTGGGTTAATGTACAGACTCTACTGAACTTCAGATTTGATTCAGATTTGTATAGTAAGGACTAATGGCCTACGGCCTATGTTATTCCTTTTCTAGTATGCTTCTGTGATTGTCCAGTCTTCTCTTGAAAGAGTCAATTAGAGGTGCGGACACCACTGCTTCAGACAGCAGATTCCAAGTATTGATGACTCGGTGTGAAAACCTGTATGCCACAGGGATTTTGTTCGTTCTTGGCTTTTCTACTCGCCTGCCATGTCCTCTGAGGTGTCCCGATCTAGTGGGAATAAAGAGAGGGAATACTTGAGGTCCGAAATCATATCTCAGTATTCTGTACATCAAAATTAGATCTCTCCTTAGTCTGCGATTGGACAGAGTAAAGAGGTCCAGTTTTTCAAGCTGCTCTTTGTATGATAAACTCCGAAGTTCCGGAATTGCACGAGTAAGTGCTCTCTGTGCTCCTATGTCCGAGTCACCTTTTAAACAGGGGCTTGCAGCCTGAACGCAGTTCTCAAGCTTAGTTCTCACTAAGGATGTGTAAACTGTGGTGAACATGGTAGAATCTAACTTGGTGAATGTTCTTTTTAAAGCCCAGAGGGTTCGAAACCCCTTGGCTGCGACCTCCCGGCAATGGGCCGTCGTCTTAAGATCATTACTCACTGTCACCCCTAGATCCTTATGAGACCGGACTACTGGTAATGACACATCCCCTATGTTGTACGTATTAACCTTTGAATCTCCCAAGTGCATGTAGACACACTTTTCCGCGTTGATAGGCATCAGCCACTCTTCAAACCAGTTTATCATATTATTTAAGTCTGCCTGAAGGGTAAATGCGTCTTTGTCTCCAGTTATTACTCGCCAAATTTTTACATCGTCAGCGTATAGTAACATTGGAGACTGTACTATACTTGTAAGATCATTAACGTACATTATAAAAAGTAAAGGACCTAGGACGGAACCTTGGGGTACTCCACTAAGTACTGGTCTCCAGGTGGAGCACTTGGAATTTATTCTTACTTTTTGTCTACGACCTACTAGGAAATCCTTAATCCATTTTAAAAGAGGTCCGGCAATACCAAGTTTTTCCAACGTCAATAGCAGTCTATTAGTTGGCACCTTGTCAAAAGCCTTACTGAAATCTATGTAGACAACATCCACTGAGTTTCCGTTGTCTAGCGCATTAATCCAGAACTCCCTTGCTATAAGGAGGTTCGTTGTACAGGATAGACCCTTTCTAAAACCATGTTGTGCCATGTTCAGCAAGTTATTGGTTTCCATAAATGCCGTTGAGGTCCGTTTGATTATTCTTTCCAGTATTTTAATTACAACACTGGTGAGGCTTACGGGTCTGTAATTCGATGGAACTTGTCTTGGACCTGTTTTATGTATGGGAGTGACGATTGCGTCCTTCCAGTCCATAGGTAACACACCTTGGTCAAGTGACACATTGAATATCACAGTCAGTGGAGCCGCGATATATTGGGCAAAATGTCTCAAGATTTTGGGGTGTAGTTCATCTGGTCCTGTTGACTTCTCCATGTTTAGGGTGCTAAGAGCCTTAAGCACATCGTTTTGGTCGAAGTCCACGGTGAGCAGCTGGTTTGTTGACTCTGTATTTGGGTCTGGTTCTTTATCTAGAGGAGGTTCCTGAGTGAAAACTGCCCCAAAATAGTCAGCCATAGCCTATGCTTTTTCCTGATCTTCCTCTATCATTTCAGATTCACTTCCTACTTTAATTAGGTTGGGAATCCAATGATGTATCCTTGTTCTGTAGTTTATGTACGAGAATATTCTCTTGGGCTGCTTGAGTGCAGATTGTGCCAGCTGCAATTCATATTTTCTTTGAGCTTCCCGAATTTTAGTTATACACTCGTTTCTTATCGATCTGTAGCGTTCCATCGTACCTGCTGTGCCAAGGCGGATGGCAACATCCCAGCATTTCTTCTTTTGTCTTAGTAAGCGTCGAATATCCCGCCGTATCCAGGGATGTCCGTGCTTCTTTTTCTTTGGGACAGTCCAAGGTATGTATGGTTGAGTTACCCGATTGTATAACTGCCTGAATAGAGTCCATGCCTCTTGTACTGATGCCTTTGAGTCAATTTCCCAGTTTTCAGCCGATGCTGCGGAGTTAATTGCCTGCATATCTGCCTTCCATATGTTAGGACGGGCCGGCGCAACTGTTTGACAGGCAATCTCAGCCATGAATTTGAATAAGATGACTGCATGGTCACTTCTCTCAAGTGGTGGGAGAAAAGACATTTGACCAACGTCATCACCGTGTGTGAAGACTAAATCTAAAAGAGAAGAATTCGATAGTATATTCGCTCGTCTTCATAAGAAGATAATGATGGTGTGTGTTATAACTTCATCCCAGAACAGTTGTGACCAGTCCCCAGGCTTCCTGGCCAATCTTCACTGGAGTTTCAGAGGGGTGATATTCCAGCGGATGTATGTGGCTCGGTGATTATCTGGAATGCCAAGAACATCATTTGATTTTTCGAAGGGTTGAAAATCAAACTGTGGTTTTGAGCTCGCTCCTCCAGTAGCTCTAGTTTTCCCTAAACCCTCTGTGAATCGCCTTGATATCTGATAGTTTTTAAAGGCTAAATTTCGGTTTCGTAGATAATAATTGTAGCGATAAATAAAAATTTTGCGAGTCTATTTATAAATATGAAGCACATTAGGAAGGCCAAGATGAGCCATTATATCACTCTTGACATTTACGCTCTCCTATTTGAATGTAACCTGCTGTAAGCATGATTCAGAAGCTAGTTCTTTAACGACTAAAAGAGTTAATCTGTGAACCTTGATTGCTATATCTTTGATGTTAGGACAGCGTGCAATGAAACATCGAATATTTCAGCAAAAACCAAAAATAGAGATGTGCAGGCCATTTCTGAAACCATAAGATGGTACAAGCGTTTTGTGTCCGCATACATAGGACACTGGTATTTCGACATGAGCTGATTAGTTGTCGCAAAAGACGAGCAGCACGGTATGCTTGAGCGCCTCCAGTTTTATATATATATATCGTACTCCTTTTCATATATTTCTTTAAATTAAATACATTTATAACAACGCAGATACAAAGTGTCAAGTACGGATTTTACTTAGTGGATATGTGTTTCATGAATACGAGTATCAGAAAGCAGAAAAGCAATAGGAAATGAAACAAATATATGAATTATGAAAGTTCAGTAATACATTGGGTCAAAGAATATCAAGGTGATCCAGTTGACTTAACATGTAGCAAAATACAAGGAAGTAAATAGACACATACCTATCATTGTGCACATATTTTAAAAAACTACCCAAAGTTACAGATGAGTAGTTGACTAATTCAAGTATACAGAAGGACAAATGAAATGAAAATGATCCATCTGTTCTGAAGCCACCATGATGATGTTAATCCCTTCATAGATCATAACTTTACTGTTCATGAAACATATAAGCTAGCGAAATTCAAGCATGAAACTTAATCAAGAATAATGAAGAACTCAAATTAAAAAGACTCTCTTAGCTCAAAAGATGATCTATGTAATAATGCGTTACTCGTAAAATTACGATCACCACAGTTGTTCTGTAGCCATTTTACAGGTAACCGAAATATAGTTTAGAAAAATTAATCTAACATACATAAGTTCGTTTAAATTGAAAGCTACGTTCTTATTAGAAAATAACAGCAACATCAAACACACTGTTAAATATTTTTGTAGTCGCTTTACATCAAACCAATAAATGGCTCCATGTATTGAATTCTGTAACAATTATATAGATTATACTAGATAGCATTGTTCTGTCTTAATAAGTCAGTAATCTAATATGTCTAATAAAATATACTTACAAGCTTCGTCTCATATTAGTTACACCATGAGAAAGATACATAGTAAAATTAAACTGCTATTATTTTAAAAAAATATCATTTTTGCTGTGTTCAAATTTGTGAAGGTATCCAATTGTATAAAGAAGCGGTGGGAGACTATAATTTGTGGACGAACCAATCAGATATAAGATAACAGATCTTGGATTTTTGCGAGAAATTCAGTCATCCATTTAACTAAATAGTGTTTTGGCATTTTAGCTGTTGTCAGTTTGTCATGAAAACCCTAAATCTATTTACAAACCCTAAACACCAATTGTAAATCATAATTCTAGTTCCTTATACTGTTTTATAACCCTCATTTAGCCCCAGTTAGTAGGTGGACATTCTCAAGGTCACTTTAGCGTTGCTCAAATTTTGTCCATAAATTATAATCTCACCCACCTTTGTTCTTAACCTATTTCAACTCCAAAGCTGATCTAGAAAACATAAGATTATGTATGTGAACATGTGGTCAGATTATTTGAGATGTATTGCATAAGTTCATCAAATGTTTGGAATCAACTTTATTATTTTATCAGACTATCCAATTAGTTTGACAAATGATAAATCTCTCACACTAACAGTACATGACCAGTCACCAAGAAAAGGGTGACAGACTTAATTTGATCCATTTCAAAGTATCATTCAGACTGGTGATTGTTATTATTATTAGTATTATTCTAAAAAAAAATTAGTAAAGTTTAGTTCTGTCATACTGTTTTAATTAACCAATTAATCCATTTAATAGACATAAACAGAATATCTATCACTTTAAAACGAACACATCAAGATCAACTTTGCAAAATATTTTTGAAATTCTTGATGTTTTACCTGATCCAAAATCTACTTATAACCAGTTAGTAAAAAACTTGTAGGTTCTAGTGATATTTTCTTACTAGAGTATTGAATTAAGACATACTTATTAAAAGTCATAGACTAAAATCATTCCAACACTTTA